CCAAGCGGCCCAGGTCCGCCCGGGAGTCGCCGGTGCCCGGGCCGCCGAGCTGGGAGCCCGCGCTGGTGTCCGCCCGCCTCGAGGAGGTGAAGGCAGCCGGGGGGCAGAGCCGGCGGCGCGGAGGGAAGGGGGGAGCGGGCTGAGGCGGCTCGGGCCGCGGGTCGCGGCTGCCGGGGGCTCCTGGGGGCTCCAGGATGGCCCCGGGGAGGCCCGCGAACGGTCCCGAGGAGCGGCGGAACCGCCCTTGCCCCTCTGCCCCGCCACCGAGCGTAGCCCTGCGGGTTTCTTTGCTCCTCCTCACCTCGGCACTTCCCTTTCTGGGCTCTCTCTGGGTGCCAAGTTTCGGCTCGGAGTGAACTTTTTATAAACTGCTGAACAACGAGGTTTGATGGAGGTGCTGACACAGCATTAACTGTAGCGTTGAAAATGTGAGGCTGTAATTTTCCTGCCTGAGTGTGTGCAGCTAAAAGGCACTTTTTTCTTTTTTTTTAATTTTTTTTTTCCTTTTTTTTTTTCTTTTACAGAGTGTGAGGATCTAAAGGCATATTTAGGTTTCCAGGTTCCGTGTAAGCAATGTAATTCTCATAAATCTTGACTTGCAAGAGAGAATTTGGTTTCAAAATAGGGTGGTAGTTTCACAAACAATAATATTTATTTCACATGGGTTTATCTAGCACGGCTTCTGCAAGTGAGACAAATTGCTTCCATGGCTTCCTCGTTTTCTGGATTCCTGTTGTGCCCTATTAAAAAAAAAAAAAAAAGAAAAGAAAAAAACCAGTTTTTTGTTTTAGCTGATGTGGGTTTGTATTTTGCTGCATTTTTTCCTTTAATATACCAGCAGCACTGGTTAACTATAAGGAACTTTTAATTCAGGAGGAGGCTTTTAAACTGGCTAATTGCTTTTCCTGAAAAAGCCACATATGTTCAGAAAGCTCTTAAATATTTACTTGCTTTTACTTTCATTTGGTAGCAACCATATAATACAACTTTAGCCAAACAAGACCACTTTTTCGATAGCTTAGGCTGTTGTTTTCCATTTTTCCCTAGAACACAGATTTTTTTAGTAGAGTTCTAAGGTGCTTGAGCCATTTCTTACTTGTGAATCTTGTCCCTACCCTTGGGAAACATCCGTGAAGCATAAGAATGGGGTGAAGGTTCAATCTCCATCACCTACTCTGTTCCTGGTCTTCCTCCAATGCTTACTAGCAAGGTGCCAATTAGTGATTATGTTTTTTTTATGGTGGCGTTTACTGTGGTTGTGGATATTGTGCAGTGAATTCACTGAACAAGGTGCTTTGTATGCTCTGCTGCCTCTACACGTAATTTATTACATTTCTTAAATGCAAACCATTATATTGAAGTATTTTTAAAGGTAGGAAATAAAATGCTCAAAATTTAGGAAATGTCAAAGTTGGTATTATTCTGGACCACACATTGAGGCAGATGGAAAAAATGTTGAATGCTCACTGAATAGGGCAAGAATTCTGTAGGAAAAAGTATGTGATCACCTAATTAAAGATTATTGTAATGCCTGTACCCATGGGGGCTGACTTGAGATTCCTTGTTTCTGTAATTCTCGTGTCGTCTAACTGCTTTCTGTTCCAGTTAAGCTAATTTCACTTTCTCTGCCATGCTGTTCACAGACAGAGCCTTGGGAACTTAGGAAGAACTGTCCCCTTGCTGCTGTCGGCTTGAACTCAGGCTTCTGAGATACTGGGCAGCCACTGAAATTTCTTACTGCAGGAGTGTTCTTATTTAGCTCTTAGAGTCATGGGCAAGAGCACACTCGGTGCAAAACTGTCAAATGCCAGCAAATCTCTTCTGAGCATGTGTGAACCAAGATTCATCAAGTGTGGCCAGATGTGGGTGTACATAATGTAAATAAACATGCTCTGTAAAAGCAAATCTTTGACACAAGTACGGCTCTGCTGCCAAATTTAATTCCTTCCTCTTGAACACAGAGGGCATTGAATATCTTAATTACTTAATCATATAGGGGTTTTTATTAAAGGATAAACATGATTTTTAAAAATCAAATCTCATTCTGCAAATAGTCCAACCACACTTCCCTCTCCCCACCCACCCTACCCCAGTAATAATATAACATACAAAGTTTAAACTCAGATATATAAAGCTCAGGAACTGAAAGCAGTCTGTAAAATAGGGTGTTGAACAGCTTGAATTTTAGATATCACCAGACATAGAGCACAAAACTTACTTCCTACTCGTCCTCAGTATTGTGTATGAAATACAATAGGAATCTGAAATGATTTAGGAGATGACAGGAACTCTATCAAGTAAATAAATGTCTCTCCTCATAATTCATATGTAAAGAATTTTTAAATCTTTTACTTGTATCAGTTTGAAAAATATTTTTCCCTTTATTGGAGGCAAAGGGAATTTACTAGAACTGGCTTTAAATTGTACCAGATAGACCGAGTGGTGAAATTTCACATTTTAATGTGTTTATGACTTACACTATTTTATTAGTTCAATCTATGAAAAGCATTTTACCAGTGCTGTTAAGATTTTTATGAACGGGTATACTAACTAAAATATGATTTAAATGGTATTTACTAACCAAATAATTGCTTTTATTAAATGCACTGTGAAAACTGGCAAACATACAGCTTAAAAACACATACAGAGGAAATATGGATTTTCCAGAGCCTCACATTATATTTTATGCATGTCTTTCTTGTTTGTAATGTGCTATGCAGAAGAACATGGAGTTGCAAACTGTATTTGCCTTCAGATATTTATAATCTACTTTGACTGGGTTCACTACAGAATTAAATTGCAAAATATAAATTATGATTCTTAAGTAGTTTCATTTTGCATGTGTTAAGTAGGTAAAGGGCGATATTTGCTAAGTGAAAGGTGAATTCTGGGCAAATACAGCCCTTAATTAAAATAACTGTCATTTATTATTTGTTCTTATTAACTGGTATAACTAAGCATAGCAGCTGGAAGCCATGTTCTGTGCTGACTTTCCATCTGTATGATTTCTCTCATTGCATTGGCATTTTAGGGCCTGAAAATTGATCTTAAATCTTGTAAAACCTCTAGAAATATTCTGAATAGGGTAGCTCCACTTTTGATTGCTATTCATACTGCTTCCTCTTCGGAGAAAAATTAACATTCTGTTGAGCTTTGATATTCTCTCACCTGCCCATGTTGACAGTAAAACCTCAGGCTCTTCAGAGCAAAAGCCATTAGTAAATGTGGGTGTGTCAATCAGCAGGTAGTGCAAGTGAATCTGCAGATTTCCAAGCAGTGATATCCTACCTTGAGGCTACAAAACCCCTGATAAACAACCTTTCCCAGTAATGCCGGTTGTATTTACTGGTGGTTTACAAGCTCTGTCAGTCTCGGAAATGAAGAGTGCTAATTATGCTAATTGTTCATAAACCACTAATATGTTTGATGCTCACATGTTTTGAGTTTTCAAATGTTTCTTCTCAGCTCTTACAGGTAAATTTGTAATACTGCTGTTATGAAATTAACTTGCTGGTTGTTGTCCTAAGGGGGAAAAACCAAACAGTCAAACAAAACAAACACACAGCCTGACCAGACAAACAAACCAAAAAAAAAAAAACCCCAGTTAACTCCACAACATTAAGTACCACAAAAATAAGATGACAGATACTCGGATTGTCTGGAAATGGGAGAGGGTAAGATGGCTGCTTGAAGCTTTTCTTGACCAAGGAGAAACTAGAAACTGGTACTGAAAAAATAAACAATATACCTGACTTCTTCTGCTGTCTTCCCTAAAACAGCTGCCCTTTTGTGTCTAGGAAATGAAGCAGAGAAAACAAGATAAGTATAAAAAGGAAGAAGAAAATCTGCTTTCTTCTTCAATGTGAATTAAAGTTAGATATTTTCTTAACATACCTATGCTATTCCAATACTGTTGTGATGAAGATCTACAGGCTACATGTACTGGTTTATAACAGTTGGAAAAAATCACATTACAGAGGAACGCAGTGGAGCCTTGAGAGCAAAATCATGAGAAGATGAGGCACCTTCTGTGTTTTGTGAAAGCAAGGATTCTGGACAACCATTTGCTGCTTACATGGAGCTTCCAGGATTAGGTTGATCTTGCAGATTTGGAGCCTCTCCAACTGAGGGGTATAGAAGTTTCCCACACAGATAGTTGTTTCTAAAACTGAGAGACTTTGGTGCATTTCAATTCTTGACATGGCCAGGAGTTTTAAAACTGGATAGTGTCATTTGTAACAATGGTTGTCACTGAATGTTTTCCAGTGAGAGCAATCTAGCCTGCCCTTAATTGGAGTTTGTTTCAGATTGCTTAAATAGTGTTCAGTTGCCAATGCCACATTTCCAGCTTCAATTTCTTTTCTAAATTCACATTGTTGATTCTGTGGGATATCTGTTCCCTGCATTTTGGTCTTCTTTGTGCAGTTTGTAGAGCTCATGTTAAATTCTCAATGGCAATCTCCCTAGACTGTTTCCATGGTTTTCCAGTAGTTATTTTTATGGTTTTTTCTATCCTGTTCATTAAGCTGGGAACGTCATTTGAGGTAGCCTTAGGGTCACTAATCTATCCTTTCTCAGATCCTTTCTCAAGCCTTGATGCTACAATAACATTTGAAAGAATAAAACTAAGTAGAGGAGCAGTTGTATATTGAGGGAGAAAATATTTTTAAAGTAACCATATACATTTTACTACTTTTCCTTCACATTTTTATGTTGTGATTTTAGGTGGTGAGCTGTAGAAGCAGGGTCTGTTTCTTCTCTGTCCTTTCAGTGCCTTGAACATTAGGGATACTGTTACAGGATCGATAATATAAAGGCGGGATTGCAAAAATACTAGATTTTTAACCTCAGAAAATAGTCTAATTAATCAAACACCTTAAACTGTGTATTTATGCTGCACATTGACTATTGACTTCAATTCGTGTTCTCAATGTTCAGCTCTTCGGAAAAATGATCCTTAAAGTCTTCAAAACCGATCAGTCTAGAAATAGATGACATGCTATTAATGACTCCAAGAAGTCTAGATCATTATTTACTGTGAAGATGTGTGCAGATACTTCGGATATTTACTAGCTACTTCCAGCTCCTATTCCAAGGTATTGCACTTTTCTTAGAAAAGCAGTTTATTTTCTTCATTTAGCACTAGGGAGAATAGGCTGTCTGTAATAATTTCTAAATTTTTGTGCAAAAGACCTTATGTTGAGCTGCATATACTTCTGTAGAATTAAGTAAGGTTGTAATTTTCACTACAAGTTCAGTTATCTTGTAAAGGCTCATTCCATGTATTTTCTTTTAATGTATTAGCCAACGGTTTGCCTATAGTATAAATATTCTCGTAGCTGTTCTGTGGAGTAGCTTTTTCGCCTTGTTTCTTTGAAGCAGAGAATAGGGAGAAGATGTGGCACACTGATGATAATTTCTTCTTGAATTAAAAAAATCTGTAATTGGATAATTTTGTTTGCATAAGTCCTATTTTTTTTTTTTTATACTCATTTTGCACGAGCAGGACCTACCCTGATGTTTTGCTTTGGTGCTTTGTCACAGGCTGCTGAGAAGGTGGGCACCACAGAGGTAACAAGGAAATTTCTCTTCTCTTAGAAAGACTTACAGTACTTCTGTGCAGGAGGGTTCATTGCTCTGAAAATTCTTGGGAATTATTATATTGGCTAAAGGATAAGAATTTGGAGAAGGAATCTAAAGGTGGAGAAAGCCTGAAGTGGGATCAGATAATGAAAGTGGAGACCTGCCAAACAAGGAGACCGAGGACAAGAGCTGGGGAGCAAGTCACAGGTGGGGGAAGCATTAAGACGAGTGGTGTAACTGAGATGAGGAACAAAGAGTGGAAAAGGAAGGAGAAATTAACTAGGAACAGTTGTGGCCAGGGGGTGGAAAAATCAAGAGAAGACGATAAGGAAGACAGGTTCCACAGGCATTGTTGTTGCAGTAATATTAATCAGTGCTAAGCAGCTTTAATTTGTGGGCAGCAAGCTGTCAACATGTTCTGAGGAGGAACTGAAGAAGGAATAAGGCAGGGTTTTAGAGCTCTCTCATAGGTATTTTTTATATATCTGAAGAACTGCAGGAAGTTGTGGGAGTAAGGTCTGTATTACTGCTGGACCATGCTTACCGTATGATCCTGAGTAGAACCTGACATTCCTAATGCTTGCTGCTCTTGAGCTGTCAGCATCTCTGTGAGACTTACTGGACCTTGTTTTCCTCTCTATCATCCTCACTGAAGTGGGCAGTGATAACAGTTGCTCCATTAGCTCATGACACAGGTTATTGTAAAAATCCTGTATCTGGTGATCAGCACTGGGAGCACCAGGATACTGCCACATGAGAGCATTTCAATCTCAGTTCTGAGAGCCTAGTTACGCATTTCCACACAAGCATTGGCATCTAAATACTTCCTGTTCAAAGAATGCTGAAGTTTTACTGTCCAGCTCCTGGCAGGTATACAGTGATAGCTTGATTCCAGGTTAGCTGCAATACTGGAATACCTAGAGCTCTTTCACAGTGCTGTGCACCAGTAGCTGTCTTGCAGCTTTAGACAGAAAGTCTTAAAAGAGCAAAATGCAATTCCATGTACTTGGTGCAGTCCCCACTACTTCTGCCACTTCTCTGGTGAGCAGTGTCTGCTGCGTCAGTGCAGCTGGACACCCATAAATTCCACCGTGTTGCACACTCCTAGAGCATCAGTGATATGCTTGATCTCTCTAGCACTTCATAATTTTAAAAGCTTGAGATTTATTTTGTGCAGCAATAAACCATCAACGAAGTTCATGATGTATGGAGCTGTAGGCACCCTTTTGGATTAGTTATCTGATCTGTAGCTACTTGCAATTTCACTTAATGACCCAGTTGACCTTTACATCCTTTTTGTTTTTCTGAATATTCTGTGGTTAGAAAAATGGGGC